GTGTGTCTTGGTGTGGGCCTCTCTGGATTCACCTTGTTTCAACTCTGCTTCCTGTACTATGTGTCTTTCCTTCACCAGATTGGGGAAGTGCTCAGTTATTATTTCTTTAAATAGGTTCTCAATCCCTTTATCTTTCTCTTCTCCTTCTAGTACCTCTATGATGTGGATGTTGTTACACTTCATGTTGTCTCAGAAGTCACTTAAACTATACTCATTTTAAAAAATTCTTTTTTTCTTGCTGCTCTGATTAGATATTTTCTGTTACCTTGTCTTCCAAATCACTGATGTAATCCTCTGCTTCATCTAACCTACTGTTGATTCCTTTAGTGTATTCTTCATTTCAGATACTGTATTCATTTCTGACTGATTGATTCCTTTTTATGGTTTCTGTGTCCTTTTTCATGACTTTGTAGTTCTTACTAAGTTCCTTGAATATGCTTATAACCATAACTTTGAATTCTGTGTCTGATAAATTGCTTGCCTCCATTTCATTTAGCTCTTTTTTCTGGAAATTTCTCCTGTTCTTTCATTTGGGGTTTGTTTCATCATCTTCCCATTTTGGCTGCCTCTTTGTGTTTGTTTCCATGTACTAGGTAGATCTGCTATGACTCCCAGTCTTGTAGTATGGCCTTATGTAGTAGGTTTTCTGTGGGACCCAGCGGTATAGTCTCCTTGATCACCTGAATTGGGTGCTCCTGGAATGTCTCTTGTTTGTGTTTTGTAGGTCCTCCTGTTGTAATTGAGTCTTGATTGCTATTGACCCATTTGTGCATGGGGTCTACCTGCAGGTTGACTGACTGAGGATTAACTTGAACCATAATATACAAGCTGCTGTGCAGGGGCTGACCACACAAAGCAAAATTTGCCTCAGCATGGTCTGGTGCCACCTACCAAGATAATCCCTTTGGATATGCTGCTTGTGAAGCTAATTGTATCTTGCTCTGATGTTGTTTGAAACTGGCCACTGGGTGTGTTGGTTCTGGGGCCTCTTGGGAGGGACTGTGATACAGCACAATGTCAGATGCTGCCTGTGACTGACCCTGGGCAACGTGTTTGGAGCTATAAAGTGATTGATCTACAGTTTGTGACTTCCTCTGCTGGGCCTGAGTGTGCTTGGGAAGGACCATGCTGTGTACCAAGACTGACTTTTACCAACATTGGGCCCAGGGACAGTTTCACAAAAGTTCCATGGCATCCTGAAATTTACTTCTACCTGTTTCTGCCTGCTGGCTGACTGTTAGGCTCAGTCACTGAAAGAGCCTCTGGCATAATGTAGGTTCTCAGTGAGTTATCGGGTAGGGGAGAATAGTGTTCAACATGTTGATGCAAGTTCAAACTCAGTGCCAGTGCTGGGTCTGAGGCCATTCAGGAAATGACCTGGGGTAAACCAAGTCTAGCTGCCACTTGCTGGTTGCTCACACACCTTTGTGTAGGGCAAGGTCTCAGGAAATCATCAGGGTAAGGCCAGCAGAATTTTATCAGGCCTAGACAGACCAAGATTTGTTCATATGAAGCGGGGGGGGGGGGGCTCTGCACTGACTGGTTGGTCATATGAGGGGGAAGTGGCTCTTGCCCTAGAGCCACACCGCTCAGTCTGACCCAGATTCTACCAGGAGTCTGATCTCAGCAGAGTGGAGCTGCTAAGATCCTGGAGAGTGTGGCTAGCAGGTCTTTCATGAGGGGGAGGTGCCAGTCAGTTCACGGAAAAGTCAGGGGGAATGGCCTCTGTCTCAAAGCCACACAACTCAGTCACTGAAACACCCTGAGCCTGTCCAGACCTCTACACCCAGGCCCTGGCAGCTGACTCCTCAGCAGGGCACAACCTCTGCAGGGTAGGGTGAGAGGGAATACAGAGGATGAGGCTATTGCATTCCCCCAGGCTGATACCATATGGATGGAAGTGCAAGAAAAATGGTGTCTGCAGTGTGGAAGACATACTCAACACAGGGATCCTGGCAGCTGTCCCTTGAGCTCTGTCCCCAGAGCCACAAACCCAGTTTCTTCTCATAGGACTCTAATCTGCTCTGCCCTTCTTTCAGAGGAGCCTAGGATGAGTAAACAAGATTTTGTGTGTTGGCCCTTTAAGAAGCCACCTGTATCTCTAGTAGATCTCTGCCTTTCCATGGCAGACAGAATCTGTGCTGATTTTCACAGCCAGATTTAATATGGGTACCTCTTTCTGGCTCTAGTGCTCTGGGCTGGGGAGCCTAGCTTGGGGTTGAGACGTCTCAGAGAGAACCTTTTGCATACAGCTGAGAAATCCATCCAGAATTTCAGCCACCACCTGTGGGAGCAGAGCCAGCCCTTTTTGCGTTCCCACCCTTCCTATCAGTCTTGATGTGGTGGCAGCTTCTGTAAATCTTTGGCTGCAAGACTGCTCTTCAGCTGGTCTTCAGTTGGTAATTTAGGTTGCTTGCTCTATATTTTAGTGATTTCAGTTTTGTCCTGGTAGGGGGTGAGTATAACATCTGCTTAATCCCTGCCATCTTAGATGTCTCTATATGCCTTCTTTTAAAATATTTTATTTTATTTATTTTTAGAGAGAGGATAAGGGAGGGAGAAAGACAGGGAAACATCCATGTGTGAGAGAAACATCAATTGATTGTCTCTCACGCACACTCCGAAAGGGGACCAGGCTGCAACCCAGGCATGTGCCCTAACCAGGCATCGAACCAGCGACCTTGCTTTGTGGAACAGTGCTCAACTAACTGAGCCACACAGCTCAGGGCCCATCTTCTTTTTATAAAGGACTTTTTCTGGTTTTGGAATTAAGTAACTGAAAGGTTATATTGCTCTGTAGCCCCAGCCTTTATTGATTTTTATTGTTCATTCTTTCCATATTTCTAGTAATATCACAGATATGGATTCCTTCCATAATGTGTAAGTTTAAAGAGTTATGTAAGTTGTCATAAAATAATGAGCTTAAAAATCTCATCAAGAAAGGACATGAATAGTCATGTCCTTTCATTAGTAATTAAAGAAATTTCATTAGTAATTAAAGAAATGCAGATTATTGCCCTGGCTGGCATAGCTCAGTGGATTGAGCGTGGGCTGTGAACCATAGTGTTGCAGTTTCGATTCCCAGTCAGGGCACATGCCTGGGTTGCAGGCCACGGCCCCCAGCAACCGCACATTGATGTTTCTCTCTCTCTCTGTTTCTCCCTCCCTTCTCTCTCTAAAAATAAATAATAATAAATAAAATCTTTTTTTTAAAAAAAAGCTTTCTTTTTTAAAAAATGAAAATGTCATTTTCTTTTTTCTCTCTTTAGAAAAAAAAATGCAGATTAAATAGGTAGAGATGCTTTTTTTTTTCTTAACCTATAAGGCTGACAGAGACACAATATATTATAACTGATGGTCTAATAAATAGGTACAAGTATTTGGAAGATAAGCTGGTATCGATAAAAGGTTATAAAATAACTACTCAGCAATTCTTCTAGAAGTGTACTAAGATTTAGCTACAAAGTAATCCTCCAGTATTGTTTCTAGTAAAGGAACCTTGAAAACAGCCTTGCCCTGGCTAGGTGGCTCAGTTGGTTTGAGTGTTGTCTGGTACGCCAAAAAAGGTTGCAGGTTTGAATCCTAGTCAGGGCACATACCTAGGTTGTGGGTTTGACCCCTTGGTTAAGGTGTGTGCAGGAGGCAACCAATTGATGTTTGTGTCTCACATCAATGTTTCTCTCTCTCCCTTTCTCTCTGTCTCTGTATCTCTGTATCTTTGTATCCCCCTTCCTTTCTCTCTAAAATCAATTGAAACATATCCTTGGGTGAGGATTAAAAAAAGAAAGGGAAAAAAATAAACCAACCTTGATTAAATTTGCTACGGGGCTGGTTCACAGAATGGGATATTATGCAGCCAGAAAATGTTACAACGGACGACTATATTAATGATGTGGAAATATGTTCGTGATCTACCATCTTCTGCCATGTTCAGAACACAAGCTACCAAACCATGTAGAGCCTGCTTCTCAAACTGGGAGTGCCAAGTGTCAGGAGTTTACAGAGCCATGGGATTAATATAGTGCATTTTATTGGAGCATAAAGGTTCCCAAAAAGATAGGGAGGGAAGAAAATAAAAAATATTTCTTTCAAAATTAAAACAATTGTTGTGGACAAGAATGCATGCATTTTTAAAATAACTAAAGAAATTTCACACTTGTAGTTTTGTTTTGGTAACTCCTTCATTGATGTATGGGTGAGACATTTAGCAATTTCAACAGTGCAATTTCTTTTAGTAAAAAAACTATATGTACTTAAATGTTAACTGCTATCCTTGGGCAATGGGATTGTAGGTGATTAAAAATTTATCTGTGTTTTGTACCATGAAATTTATGATTTTAATTTAAAATTTATCTTAAAACTTTAATGGAAAAATTTTAAGTTTTATGCAAATAAGAAATAAGTCAGCCTCCAAATTCCAGGCTTTGATAACAGGATTGAATCAGTAATTATTATAGGTCCTTTTTATGTATATTCTCTTCTGTTTGTGTTCTGGATGTCACCTCCTCTTTTTCTCTTTTTGCCATTATTAAAGTTTGTACATTGCACCAGTCTAAGTGTTAAGCCTCATTCTCAGTCTTTTCGTGAGATACGAGGCCCAGAATGAAATTCTTAGAACCAGTTGGTTATTGGTCCTGGCTCGTTACTATTTATTTTGGGCACAAAGGAACATATTCAAGTTTTAGATTTATAAGCCAGTCAAATTAGAAAAATGCATTAAATTTTATTTATAATAATGAGGAATATGTTGCAAAAAGGTTTTGACAAAACCACCCAGATTATACAATCCCTTTGTTTTAGCCAGTAACTTTCACCTTGTATTTCAAATGCCTTTTAAAAACATTTGAGCCGATTTGATTGATTTTTACCTTTCCTTAGGGTACACCTCTAAGTATTGATACTTTAATAGTTAACAATGAACCAAGGGAAAAAACGTGATGATAAATCTTAGGTTTCTATGTATAACTAGTGCCTTAAATTCTGGAACTCCTTTCTTCTAGGCAAATCGACAGCCTTCCAGCTGTAATTCAGCCAAAATGTCTACTCCAGCAGACAAGGTCTTACGGAAATATGAGAATAAAATTAATCTAGGTGAGTTTGTAAAATACATTTCGTCACTAGGGCATGAGAAAATTCTTTAGAAATACATGAAGTGTTATAAAATTTTATTGAATCAAGAAATTAGTATATTCTGTGTTACTGACTGAGTAATGCTTAGAGAAAATAAATGCTTAGTAATTTAAAAACATTGCTTCAAGGAAAAGACATGAGCTTATGCTTTCTCAGTTCTGTTTTCTTGCCTGTTGTACAAATACAGAGTAACAGATACCTTCAAGTTATTGTCTGTTTTGTATTAGGTTTTATAGTTGGATTATATAATAGTAGGATGTTGAAAATACCAGAACATTGAATATAATTAGATGTTGTTTACCAGGGACATTTTATGTAGGCATTAATCATTTAGTGAGCTGCTGAATGTAAGGAATCAGAATATTTTGAGCTACCACCTCTTGAAAAATGCATGGTCATTTTTCTCTTGTAGACATTGACTTGTTAGTAACATAGCACAGTGTCTCATAACCTGTCATTGCCTATCATGGACCTATAATTTGAAATGAAACTTCAGTTTTTAGAATTAAACTTGGAATCCAGGCAGTTGCATTATCTGTATTAGCTGTACAAAAAATATGAGTGTCTGAAATTCAGCAGATGCAGATACAGTATTTTTTAGGAGTTTCTGTATCTAGATTTCTATGGCTCACAAATTACAGCTGTAGTGATGAAAGTGACACTTGTTATTAAGGAAACACAACTTAGTGCTTACCTTTAAAAACATGAAAAACATTTTTCATTACAAAAATATATTCTATGTATAATAAAATATTCAGACAATAGAGAAGAGGGGAGAAGGATCCTATTCAGAAAGATTATTGATGTCTTTCTGTTCTACATGTTTACATTGTGGATTTTTTTTATTTTTAGATAAACTAAATGTTACTGATTCTGTCATAAATAAAGTCACTGAAAAGTCTAGACAAAAGGAAGCAGACATGTAAGTAATATTTTAACTATTAAGACATGGTTGATAGGGACTAATTCTAGACAAAGTAAGTGTTCATAATTCTTTTGCCAAGGATTTTTTTTTTTTGTATACTTAAACTTCTTTTTTGTGTGTACTTAAATGAGGGTATCTTATGCCTTTATAAGTCGAAAATATTAAACGAGTCTTTTTTAGAAATACATGGTAAAACTGTACTATTATGAAATTTATAAATGTGCTCTTAGGATAACAATGTTTGTACATTTCTGTTTAAATGTTAAACTTCTAAAAGGTTAAAATCTTAGCATAAAAATGCTCTCTTTTTATGATTTATTAAAAGTTGTTCCCTTCCATTATTTTTTTAAATCAAGATAAGATTTAAAACAGAATACTGCTATAACAGAACAGATTGCATTTACACTTCTGTTCTCAAAACCAGTTGTGTAAAATCTGCCTAATTTCTATATGCTGTTAACTCTGAGGCATTAACAATATATTATAGAGAGTGACACTAAAATCATACAATTAGTAATGTTAGAACTGAACTTAAAAACCATTTTTTTCTGACTAAAAACCAATTTTTTTCTGGTTTATTACGGTGCACAAGAGATAATAGCTTTTTGAGAAACAACATGGTCATTTGTTATTTCATTGATGTGTCTGAATCTTTGTGTTTGAATCTTTATTAGCTGAGGTTAGTGTACTAATTCAGTCATTTAGTGTGTGAACTGAAGCTAATCAGATTTGCATTTTAATACAGAACTCAGTAACTGTCTTCAAATGTTATCTTGACTTATGTCTGAAAAAAAGCACTCTAAAGAGAAAGCCTCATGAGTTGACTTTAATTCTCTAGTAATAGAATCATTAAAGATTTGAAGGACGCTATAGACTTAATCTTTTCTTTTCTATAGCATAGTTCATGTTACCTCACCTGTTCTTTTTATTTAATGCTTATAAAATATGAATAGGATTTTTTTTCATTGCAGATGTGCTCCTTTTGCCCTTGGGAACTGCACTCTTATTAAGGGGAAATGAAGGAAGTTTCACTGAATGTTGAAACTACAAGATCCTGAAATCTGTTTCTAAAGAAACTACTTACTAAGGAATTTATGGAATAATGTACCTGTAGAAACTTTTTATTTTGGCTTCTCTGGCTGAATTTTGAATGTTACCTATACTGTTTTGTTTTTGGTTAGGTATCGCATCAAAGATAAGGCAGACAGAGCAACTGTAGAACAGGTACAATGTAAATATTACAAATCCTTATTTTAAAGCAGCATTTCTGTTCTCTTTGAATTGTAGCTTGCTTTTATCCATCTTAATTCTAATGTTACCTAAAATTACTCTTATATAAAATTATTCCTTACAGTTTTGGGTTTAGAGATCTACATTTTGCTTTATTTATAATAGAACTATTAGCAGACAAAGTGAAGTCATGCCTCACTCTGGCCCCGTGAAGCCACCATGCAGTGCTTTCATCTTTGGGGAAGCAGGAGTGACTATCTAACTAGATATCTTTTGTCTAAACAAGGTCTGCAGGAATTTAGTGAACTCTCTTAGAAGATAGGTCAGGTATCGTCCACCAAGTAGGTGGGTGGTAGTGTGTGAGAGAGACACACACACAAGTAGTGCCTTAAAATTTTCAGTTAGAAATCCTTTACTTGGTTTAGAAATCACTGGGGTATGCTTGTTCAGTTCTTTCTATTCAAGAATGGGGGAAAGTTGGCCCTTAGTGTTCCCACATGCAGTGTGTTGAGATTGGGTGTTAGCATAGACCCAGATTTTTTATGGGAACAAAGAGATAAATAAAAAGGGTCAGAACATTGCTACTGCAACCTATCACCCACTTTCCACCACACACATATGCACATTTTGGAATAGTGGCCTCTCTGGTTTAAGACATAAGCATCCCTTCTGTTACTTACCTCAATCCCCAAAGGAGTAACACCCAACTTGTGCTCTAGAACCATTTGTGTAACTGGAGAATTTCACATTCAGTCCAGCAGGAACAGGTCTTGGATCTGTGTCTTCATTGTCCTCTAATTTATTTATTTTGTGTGATTTGTGTGTGTGTGTGATTGAAAACAAAGTATGGTCCAGCTCAGAGAGATGAGGCAGCTTTAACTTTCAAAGACTTTAAAATAACTCAGGCAGAAAACACCTTCTTTTTCTCTTTTGAAATTAATTTTGAATGACAGTATGTATTTTGACTTTTACAAAACACATATTTGTAAGTTTATTATCTTATATTTCTCTTTCCCTATTTTGTTTTTAAACTGTTTTCCTGTGCCCTTTCTATTCCCCTAACTTGGCTACCTACTAGTTTTGCAGAAGCCCGGGTCTCTGTAGATTTCTATGCTCAACCAACTTACACTCCTGCTGTTTACCTGTGCAGTAGAGAGGAAATGTTAGTTATTGCCTGTTCACTCACTTTCATTATGTTCCAGTTGTGCCACTATTTGTAGTTTGGGTTTTTAGTCCTGCAAAGGTTATTTTGTTTGTATAAGCCTTAGGTTTCTGGCATGACCACAGCCACCTCATTGAAGGATAGACCCTAGAGTAGTGATTTTCAATCTTTTTCATCTCATGGCACACATAAACTAGTAACTAAAATTCTACAGAACACCGAAACATATGCAAGGTTGGGCAAAAGTACATTTACAGTTGTTTGTATGAAAAAAGACACTCAGGTTATGATTATTACAATAGGTTTATTAACACAAGAGTGTCACAATGCACCCTGACTGGTGTGGCTCAGTTGGTTGGACATCATCCCACAAAGCAAAAGGTGGTTAAGTCGATTCTCGGTCGGGGCGCTTACTCGGGTTGTGGGTTCAGTCCTCATTAGGGCTATGACAAGCAACTGGTCCATATTTCTCACCCTCTCTTTCTACCTCCCATCCCTTTTCTCTAAAATTAAATAAAATATTTAAAAAAAAAAGTGACAGTGCAACTGTAAACGTACTGTTACCCACCCCTGTGTTATATTTTTTGCCAGTCTGACAAAAAACATAGGTATAATTTTGATTCATTCAAACTGGGCAGCTATTGTTGTGTTGGCTGTTGTCATTTTTTTGTTTGACAGTCTTAACGGAAGGAGGTCAGTGCCCCTGACTACGTACTCAGGTATTGCATTTTTTAAAAATGCTAGCGGCATACCAGTTGAAAAATCGCTATTCTCGTATAGTTAGATTTGGCCATTTGGCACTGGCTCACTTAGTGGGGCTGGAGGGGCCTCCTGGGCCATGAAGAGCTTATGCAGGTGTCCCTCGAAATTGTATGTAAATATGTGGCTGCTTCATCTTCAGACATGGACAGGGGCAGACTTTAATTCATTGCCTTGTGTTTGTTAAAGAAGACTTTGGGTTTTTTTTTTTTACTAAAAGCTGACTGCTCTGACTTTGAAGGAGACCCTTCCCCGGATTACTCATCTATAGTAAGGGGCCATAAACTCTTTTAAAGAGCTAAAGAATAAATACATTAAGCATTGTGGCTGACAATTTTTTTTTTAAGAAACTTTTTTTTAATAAAAAAATTTTTATTATTTATTTATTTACTAATTTTTAGAAGGGGGAAGAGAGGGAGAGAAACATCGATGTGAGAGGAAAACATCCATCGGTTGCCTCTCATACATGCCCTGACTGGAACCGAACCTGCAACCCAGGCATGTGCCCAGACTGGGAGTCAAGCTGTGACACTGCCCAACCAACTCAGCCACATTAATCAGGGCACAATTTTTTTTTTAACAACTATTTTAAAATGTAAAAAAACATCTTTAGTTTTCAGGCTGTAGAAATACAAGCTACAGCTTGGAGATGACTCATGAGCTGTAGGGTGCTGACCCCTCGTTCAAAGAGAGTGACCATTGAGCACTTGAAATGTGGCTGATACAAACTGAGACATGCTATAGATGTAAATACACACCATGTCTTTAAGACGGTGAAAAACAGAATGTTAAATCTCTCACTAATAACCTTTTTACATCAATTACATATTAAAAAGATGGTATTTTAGATATATTGGAATAAACACATCTGAATGTGTTATCTTTTACATCTTAATGTGACTAGAAAATGTAAAATTGCTTACGTAGTTTACATTATATTTCTATTAGCAAGTGCTGGTCTAGAGTCAATTACTGCCTCCTTTGGACTTGGTAGCCTTTGATTTCTTTGACTGAATGAACTTGTTGGTTTATTGTCTCTCTGGTTCCTTTGGCCCTCACCTCCTATTCTCTCTACTAAAAATTAGATTAAATAAAAACACCATAATAGCAACCCTCATTTAGCCAGCCAGGATTTCATGGTACAGTTAAGCTCTTCAGTGTATTAACTGTCAGATTCTTCAATATCTTTCTGAACTTTCTATTTTTTTGCATCTCTTTTTAGGTGTTGGATCCCAGAACACGAATGATATTATTCAAGATGTTGACTAGAGGAGTGATATCAGAGATAAATGGCTGCATTAGCACAGGAAAAGAAGTGAGCTTTTCTTTGGATGCCTGAGTGTTTTCATATTCTTATTTCAGATAAGAAATGAAACTAAGGCACTTAGAAATAAAATGTGCCTTTAAAAGGAAAAACTATATATAAGCCAGGATAGTTTAATCAGTATTTAAAAATGGCTTTATCAATATTTATAGCTAGGTAGGAAGTTGTGCACATAATTGTGCCTTTTCACTGCTGTTACTTTACCACATTGTTAAGTCCAACTAGTGCTCAGCAGTACTAATGGTCAGGTTACTACAGGCCTGAGTCCTAATCAGAGAGTTAATAAAAGGGGTGGGACTTATGGCCTAGTTCCTATGAGTCAGCTATTATCTCTCATTTTTTAATATATGGATATGCAGAAAGACAAACATGGTGTTTTTAAATTAGTCATTTTTTAAAAGATTTTATTTATTTTTAGAGAGAGGGGAAGGGAGAGAGAAAGAGAGGGAGAGAAATGTCAGTGTTTGGTTGCCTCTCACATGCCCCCTATTGGGAACCCGGCCTGCAACCCAGGCATGTGCCCTGACTGGGTATCGAACAGGTGACCCTTTGTTTTGCAGGCCGGCTCTTAATCCATTGAGCCACACAAGCCAGGGCTAAATTAGCAACTAATTCTATGGGAAGCAGTTCTCAGTAAAATTCAATTTATAAATCATGAGATATAAGGATGTCTTCAGATATTTTTTACATGCCTGAGATATAAAAATGTTTGAAACCACTTCTCACGTGTATTTAAGTTGGATTTTACTATGTATGTAATTTGGAGCTATATTTATTGTACTTTTTAATTAACATATTCAAAAGATGACAGTGTTCTTTATGCATATTATTGCAGTTCACTTTTTTTAACTTTTGGGGATAGAATCAAATAAATTGAAAAAGTAAAATACTGTTTGTACTTATTTAACACAAACTTAATTTTCTTTGGTTTTGACTTAAAATAGGCTAATGTATACCATGCTAGCACAACAAATGGAGAGAGCAGAGCAATTAAAATTTATAAAACTTCTATTTTGGTGTTCAAAGATCGGGATAAGTATGTAAGCGGGGAATTCAGGTAAGCTCAGATGTATTTTTTCCAATTGGCTTAATTTCTGAATCCTAAAAAAAAAACTAGAATGGAATGATTCAAATAACAAATATTTTTCTTGTTCAAGGTTTCGTCATGGCTATTGTAAAGGAAACCCCAGAAAAATGGTGAAAACTTGGGCAGAAAAAGAAATGAGGAACTTGATTAGGTGACTTTCTGGGGGTGTGTCTGTGCTGTGCCTTGGGCATTGGCCTTAGCTCTTTCCTGCTGGCAGATCCTAGGGCATTCTGTCCAAAGATAGGGATACAGTGGAGCCAAGTTCTACCAGATCTGCTGAGGTAAACTGAAACACTTCTGGACAAGGAGGAGCTACCTTACCTTGTCTGTTTTAAGAACTCATGATTCACATTTATACAGCAAGGCTGGATCATTAAAAGATCCTTAGAATTCATATAAAAACCTTCAGAATTTTTACTAAGGATAATAAAGAGCTGTTACAGGATTTTAAACAGTGAAGTGACTTACTCAGGTGGAAAAAATGGTGCATCATTCTTAAATAGGTGTTAGAGTTTAGAAAGTTTTGTTAGGTTCAAAACTCTTTATCAGTTGCCTTTTCTTCTTCCAGTCCAGTTTTAGACACATTTCTGTAGTCTTTGAACTGACACCTAATATGCTGTACATAGGTGACACACTGGCTCTTTTAGTATTAAGAAGATACTAATGCTTGTCTTGAAAGCCCTTCTGAAATCTGCATGTACTTAGTTAGCTACTAGGTATGAGTCCAGCTAATCATTGTTTTTGCTAATTGTTGTTCAGGCTGATCAACTCAAAAGATCATTGCAGACGTAGTCACTGTATTTTGTCAATTCTAAGACACATTTTTTCACAGTTCAACATCTCTGGAATTGGATAGAGTATTACAGGCCTTGGGGAGTTGTGATTGAATTGCCACTGTTTTGTTGTTCTTGGTGGTGTGTGATGGTATGACTTTAAATCTCTAATGTCTTAATAGTTTTTGAAATACGATAGTACAGTTGAGAGGCTCTGGTGCCATTTTCTAACAGCAGTATTAATCTTGTGTAGTGCAGCTATTGTAATTTGTTTTAGATGTTGTTTTGACTTTTCATTTGTCCTTTGTCTGTTTTAATATCACAGGCTAAACACAGCTGGGATCCCATGCCCCGAACCTATCTTGCTAAGAAGTCATGTTCTTGTCATGGGTTTTATTGGTAAAGATGACATGTGAGTATGTAGAAGGCCTAATAGTTACATGCTCAGAATTATATCTCTAAGTGCTTTGAATTACCCAATATATGAGCATTTTCTATTTAAATAGCTTGTTTATTTTTGGAATATTTTTTATGACTCTTTCCTAGTGTATTAGTGCATAGAGTTATTAATTTATTTTACCGCCCTGGCTAATGTGGCTCAGTTGTTTGGGCATTGTCCTACAAAACGAATGGTCGCAGGTACAATTCCCAGTCAGAGTACATGCCTGGGTTGCAGGCTGGGTTCTTGTTGGCATGCATTCGAGAGGCAGCTGATCAGTGTATCTCACATTGATGTTTCTCTTCCTCTCTTTCTCCCTCCTTTCCCTTCACTCTAAGAATATGTAAGTAAAATATTTTAAAAATTTATTCTGTCTTTTTAAGTCTCAAAATGCTTCAGAATAACAAGGTACACTGTTTGTTTGTTTGTTTTGAGGAATATTTTGTATAGTAAGCTGGGGAAGTACCTGTTGCTTGACAGAATGGTACATCTATAGTGAGCCAGGTTGTTCAGTGATGAGTTGTAGAAGAGAAGTACTTGTAACAAATGCAGTGTAAAGCAAGAAAACTTGTCTTGGTCACTTTATCTTCATTGTTCATTTTATTCTTATTAAAGGCCAGCACCACTTCTGAAGAACATCCAGTTATCAGAATCCAAGGCTCGGGAGTTGTACCTGCAGGTCATCCAATACATGAGGATAATGTATCAAGATGCCAGACTCGTCCATGCAGATCTCAGTGAATTTAACATGTTGTGAGTGTGTTTTGTCCCTTAGGAACCTCCCAGAAGTCATTTCATGTCCTTTAAAAACATAAACAAAACCCTAATCCAAGATGCCATGCCAAATTCAAAAGTATTAAAGTTGGCTTCCACATGGTCAGAGTATAGGATGTGTTTCCTGCCTTGGGTGACCTTAGTCATTGAAGTGAGCCCTCACGTTACCATAGGGGAATGTGCATCTTGCTGATGTCTCTCACAGTCCCTGCCTGTCTGGCCCACAGGTACAGTGGTGGGGGTGTGTACATCATTGACGTTTCTCAGTCTGTGGAGCATGACCACCCACATGCCTTGGAGTTCTTGAGAAAAGATTGTGCTAATGTCAATGGTGAGTGGAAATTTTAATTTTTTACCAGCTTGTGTGTGTTAGTTCTGTACTCTGTTAAGCTGGTGATATAAAATGTTGGGACTAAGTCGTTCAATGCATGATACTTACACCATTAGCTGTCAGATGGTATATTTTCATTTTTTTGTTTCTCTGTAAAGTTGTCAGAATAACAACCTTTTCTCTAGTAAAGCTGTCCCAAATATTTTCCTCCTGACAGACTTCTTCCTGAAGCACAACGTTGCTGTGATGACTGTGCGGGAACTCTTTGAATTTGTCACAGACCCATCAATTACGCAGGAGAACATGGACGCTTATCTCTCAAAGGTGAGATGGGGCAAGGAAGGAAAAACAAAACAAAACAAAACAAAAAAAAACAAAATAGCAGTAGTAATTGGCCTTTATGCGGCTCTTCTGAGGACTCAAATTGCTCAGCACAATTTTTGTTTATTTGACAGCTTCCTGAGATCTTTTCCTTCTGATTTCACAGCTGGGGAATCAAAAGTATAGTAAAATGCCAATGGTAAAGCCAGATTTTAATTGTTAGGCAAGATTACATAGACTGTCAAAGTTGTAAACATTTAATAAGAAACCTGTTGTTAGCTTTTGGTCATTAATTCCTTTCTCTTGTTTCCCAAAAGCCTTTCTGAATCACACAATTCTTAAAAATGTGGTAAAAATACAAAGTATAAAATGTACCATTTTAACCATTTAAGTGTACAGTTCAGTGGCATTAAGTATGTTCACATTGTTGTGCAACCATCACCATGATTAATCCACAAAACTTTTATATCTTGTGAAATGAGCTGTTTCATAAGGTAAACACTAACTCCCCATTTCTCCCTCCTCCCAGCTCATTCTCCTTTTGGTCTATAATGGTGACTACTCACGTAAGTGGAATCATACACCATTAGATTTTTTTAGCTGACTTATTTCACTTAGCATAATGTCCTCAAAGTTCATTCATGGTGTAGGATATGTCAGAATTCTCTTCTTTTGAAGATGGAGTAGTATTTCTATTGTATGTACATACCACATTTGTTTATCCATTCATCCATCTATGAACACTTTGGTTGCTTCCACCTTTTGGCTGTTGTTGAATAATGCTGCTGTGCACATGGGTATGCAGATATCTCTTCAAGACTCTGCTTTTAATTCTTTTGATGTAGACTCAAAAATGAAATTAATGGTTCAGTGTGGTTTCTTTAGTTGGAGCATTGTCCTGTGCACCGAAAGGTTGCAGGTTCAATTTCTGGTCAGAGCACACACCTAGGTTGTAGGTTCAGTCCCCAGTTGGGGCACATACAGGAGATAGCCAGTTGATGTTTCTCTCTCACATTGATGTTTCTCTCTCCCTCTCCCTCTCCCTCTCCCTCTCTCTCTCTCCCTCTCTCCCTCTCCCTCTCCCTCTCTCCCTCTCCCTCCCTCTCTCTCCCCCCCCCCCTTCCCCCCCCCATCCAAAAAAAAATTGGTAAATGTGGCCTCAAGCCAGGATTTAAGGAAAACCAGTGGAATTAATTACTGGATCATATGGTAATTCTACTTTTAATTTTTTGAGTAACACCCATGCTGTTTTCCTTAGTGACTGCCCCATTTTACATATCCATCAACAATGTGCAAGGGTTTCGATTTTGTTTTATTTTTGTAGGGTTTTGGGGTTTTTTTGAGTAGCTGTCCTGATAAGTATGAGGTGGTATCACATACTTTTGATGTGCATTTCTCAAATGATGTTCAGCGTCTTTTCATGTGCTTGTTGGCCATTTGTATATCTTCTTTGGAGACATGTCTATTTAAGTTTTTTGCCCATTTTTTAATCAGTTTTTTTTTTTTTAGTTAAAGGAGTTCTTTATGTATTGTGAATATCATTAACACCATATGATTTACACATATTTTTCTCCCATTCCATATGCTGCCTTTTTACTCTGATTATTGCATCCTTCAAAGCACAAGGTTTTAATTTTGATGTCCAGGTTTTCTGTTGTTCTTGTTACCTCTGAATTGTAGAATTTTGAACACGTGGCATACATGCCCCTACACAAGTTTTCAAACTTTATCATATCTTTTCATATTTTTTTTCCTTGGAATGCCTTCCCATTTCTACCCTTGCTTATCTTTCTTCGTTGAATGAACTTTAAAGCTCAGTTCAGAAAGCTTTCTTGAGAAATCAGGCAGAAATAATTATTTCCAAAGGTTGTGCAGTCGTCTCTCAGAATCCAAGGAGGACTGGTTTCAGGACCCTTCTAGAGGACACCAAAATCCAAGGATGCTCAATCTTTTATGTAAAATGGTGTGGTATTTTTATATACCCTACACATAGCTGCCTGTATACTCTAAATCGTGTCTGGGTTACTTATAATTCCTAATAAAATGTAAATGGTATGTCAGTAGTTGTTACATTGTATTATTTAGGAAATAATGACAAGAAAAAGTTTGTACGTGTTAAATACAGATGTAGTCATCATAGGCCTAAATACAGTGTTCATGTCAGCAATTCAGTTAACACTCTTTTTGGATATTTTCAGTCCAGAATTGGTTGAATCTGGGGATACAGAACCATGGTTACAGATATATAGATATGGAGGGCCAGCTGCAATTTTCATGTTATGTAACCATTATACAAGTAGATAGAAGGATTTTGTCACTCTTTACTAGACTATTGATATTAACTCTTAAAAGACAGGGATTTCATTCTTGTATTCCCTGTACCTAAGTAGTACCTGGCAATAGTAGGTAATTCCATATGTTAATTGAATGACTAAATATCACATGATTTTTGTTACTTAACTCTGACACTAATTTTAGTATATGATCTTAAAACAAAAAGCCACCTAGTACTGTTCATTCTTTTTTCTGTATATTCTAAATACAGTAGAGAATAAATCTTCGGTTTTACAGTGTTATAAGCCAGAAGAATCCTGTAGAACCTTTGTCACATTTTAGTGTCAGTCATTGTTGAGATTGCTTTCTTTAGTGGTTTATGCTGCAGCAGCGTTAGGGTATACTCAAATTGGAGGATAATCTACTCTCTTTGATTCCCTTCATTGACTACTCAAGAGTTAAGGAATGGTTCTTTTCATACTTTGGGTATTAATTATCCTTTAGTAAATATTTCTGCTAGTTGTTTAAAAATTAGTAAGAGTAGAATGCTTTTGAGAAAGAGGCTAAGGATTCCCCGAGGTTAGCCAAGTATGATTTATTCTGTTACTTTTGGGTCGATGGCAGTCTTTCTGGTGAGGTCTAACATGGAGAGCTAACCTGACCGCTGGAGTACAATAAGTCCTTTATTTTGTGAAGAGGTGATACCAAGAAGGATTAGAACAGATTCATACTTAAGTTGGGAAATGGATGCATCTTATGGAGTTTGAATGTGAAGGAAAGTAATTGTTTTTGTTTTTGTTTTCTCAAGGCTATGGAAATAGCATCCCAAAGGACCAAGGAAGAAAGGTCCAGCCAAGATCATGTAGATGAAGAGGTAAGAGGTACCATCTGTTCATAGCCTTAGGAAACACTTGTGCTTTGAGGTCTTTTTAAAAGTATTGTTAAGGTGCCCTGACTGGTGTGGTTCAGTTGGTTGGGTGTCATCCCACAAAGCAAAAGATTACCAGTTCACTTCCTGGGTCAGGGCACATGCCTAAGTTGCAGGTTTGGTCCCTGGTTGGAGCACATGTGACAGGCAACCAATCGATGTTTCTCTCTCACATCAATGTTTCTCTTCCTGTCTTTCTCCCTCCTTCTCTCTCTAATAAATAAGTATTTTAAAAAATATTAATAAGGCATGAACTTGCTTTTAATAGATAAGCAGTTTTTTAAATGATGATATTTTCTAGAGATGTAATATCTTACTTAGCAACATTATTCCACTCAGCAACCCATTAGCCCAAAAACATTTTAAAGAACCTACTAGAATATATGATTCAACAAGGAAAAGCCTGTTTCGACTTTCAAATGTAGATTTTTTAATTATTTAAATGTTGATTGCAGTAACATTGTAAATTTTCAATATTTATGTTTGGTAAAAAAAAATATTTTAATTTTGGGAATTAGTGTACTTTTTGTGAAGGTGATCTGCAGGTTGTCTTATTTTATTTTTTAAATTCTCACAGCTATTATTGTGCTGGATAATACAAGATACCCTGTATTTATCAGCAGTTCTGACCCTTTTTTCAGGGTAGCAGAGTGGGTGATACCCCTGTGTTAGAAGGTGTTCCTTTGTAAGGCACAGCCAGGTAATTACATTCCTTTTTCTCCCACTCAGAAAAAAAATGTGTAATGCAAAGGAGGAGAGAGAAATGTTATTCTAAGGGTAACCTTAAATCATAGTTTGTTATCATTGGTAACAAATTACTCTTGGCATAGCACACAGCACATGTAACACTGGCCTGTGCAGACAGTCTGGCTGGTGGATTCTTTTTTTTTTTTTAAGATTTGATAGGGGGTGAGGATGCTGAGTGTAAGTAAGAAATATGTAACAGTTTCAATTTTACTTTTCCCCTGTGTGTGTTAGGTGTTTAAACGAGCATATATTCCTAGAACCTTGAATGAAGTAAAAAATTACGAGAGGGATATGGATATAATGATGAAATTGAAGGAAGAGGACATGGCCATGAATGCCCAGCAGGACAATGTGAGTAGCTCAGTTTATGTGGAGCCGCTGTCCCAGGCCTGCAGTAATGAATGCTGGCTTCTAATCTAGTGAGGTGGCTGATTCCTTTTGCATTAACATGTCCTTTGTGCACATTGGATGTAAAAAGGGAATTCATTTGTATTTATGAAAGAAAATGACACATTTGAATGAGCCTAAAACTACAGTTGTAGAAAAGGAAAATCTATACAAAAGTCTAGGATATAAGTGAATATTATACTGGACCCATTAATACATATATTTCAGGGTCTGGAAATATTTTTTGTTAAAGGGCCATACAGTAAATATTTTAGGTTTTACAGGCCAAAAAGCAAAATTGAGGCTATTGTATAGATCATTATAAAAACAAAAATTTTCTCCAAATGTTTATTGATGAAATCAAAAACACTTTAATAATAATTGATTTACAGCTTTTCATGATACAAGTCTAATGAGGGGAGGATGGAGTTAATTTGGGGAGAATATTTTTCACTTCATTGAGATTCAAAGAGTTTTCCATCATTAAATTCATCGCAAATGTTCATCGGTAGAAACCATCAGTTTGTCAGTGGGATTTTGGCCTGTGAGCTGGAATCTCCTGATACTGGACAAGATTAACACCCATGATATACTACTTTCTTTGTTACTGTGAGATAAGTTTTAGGCACCTTTTTATGATCCCACAGAATACTATTTAGCCCATAGTTTTCTTTCTTAATTAATATTGGAGTGTGTTATTTTACTATCTAATTTTATGTTAATTTTTGTTTTTTTCTTTGTGATTTACAAGATTCTGTACCAAACTGTTACAGGATTGAAGAAAGATTTGTCAGGCGTTCAGAAGGTATAAAGAATATTTGTTACTATTTATATATGTGAAAACTCTTAAAGGATATAAAATTTAATGTAAAGTATTATTAGAATTAACAATGATATAGTTCTTAGAATATATACTTGCAAAGCCTATGACATTTTCAGAAATGCCCTTTTTGTGTTCGTTCTTTTTAACCACAAGACTGAAACACAGAAATTGATGGTTTATTTTTCATTCTCTGTCTGAATTGTTCTGTTGTTAAAGCTGAGGCATTGATCCTTTTTGTATCCTGGTCTTCATTTGTGAAGTTATTAATGATAACCATGTACTTCTTGATGGTTTTACAGCCAGCCTAAAAGTATGTATGAGGAGCAGTCTCAGGAGTTTAACAGTCTTATAGTGCTGGATTCCTATAGTGTTACATTCTTAAAACAATCTTGTTTTGTTTTACATTTTAGAATGGCAGGGATTAATTCTAGTTTAAGCAGTAATAAAGGCAGTTCTTATTTCTTTTAATGTTTTTAGTTAAAGGCTTAAATATGAAGGATCTCAGTTTGCTCTTTGAAAATTTACTTTGTTGTCTTTGCAAAGAATTGCCTTTTAATTGTTTGGTTCTTTTCTTAGAAAACCTCTTTTTAAAAAGTCCTTCCTGCTGCCTTTAAAAACTAAGCTTCAGGAAAAAGGAAAATTTCTTTTGCTTAAATATCATCCTCCCTCTTGATCAAATTCACAATAATTGTTGCTTGAAATTTGATTCATAGGAAAACAGTTGTAAAGTTATCCAAATAAGTATTTGTTACTTCTGTGTGTATTTCACAGTCGTCCCCACATTGCAGTGTTTCAGTCAACAGCAGGCCATATACATATGGCTGTGGTCCCTTAAGAGTAGAATGGAGTAAAATTCCTATCACCTAGTGGTGTAACAGCGTCATAGTACTAACACATTACTCACATGTTTGTGGCAATGCTGGTGTAAATAGACCTGCGCTAATAGTCATATAAAAGTATAGCACGTGCAGTTACAGCAGTAGTTTTGTATGTTTGCACAATGACAAAATCACTAACAATGCATTTCTCAGAACCTGTCCCCATCATTATGCAGCCATGGCTATACTTCCAAATCCTAACTCAGCCTCCTTTTCTGGAGTAGAACAGTTTTGTTGCTCTGGGTCATCCAGTAAAGCCCCAGTTTCTTCATTTGAGTATGTTCTTGAGCCTTACTGGAATGGCTACTTCTAGGCTTCCTCCCTAATGTTGATTCTGTGGTTTTGATGTTTTAGTACAGACTTCTGCTTTTCAAAGTTTATTTGGAAGGCTAAAGTTTGAATTGTGGCATTACCACTTTGAATAACAATAGATAACTAACTGGTTTGGAATAACATGGATCTGAAATATGTTTAAGGTACCTGCACTCCTAGAAAATCAGGTTAAGGAAAAGAATTGTTCTGATTCAGAAGATGCTGGAAGCTCTGAGTGTTCTGATGCAGCTTCTGAAGAGCAGGGGGACCATGTCTGCTCCAGGAAACCCACCACTGACCTTGAAGTTGATAAAAAGGTTAGCCAAGAATAAAAATTCCCTTGTTCGCTACCATGGCAGTGTAGCCACTCTCGTTTCCCTGTGTTCAAGTATCTAAATTATGGTGGCTGAAAACATTATTGATCAGTAAATACCTCTAACTATAGTCCTAAGCATGAACTTTGTTTTTGGTGGTAATATTATGTAGGGATTGGGCTCCCTAGATAATATTACCAAGGAGCTCCTAGATAATGGGAGCTCCTTGGGCACTGCCCTAGGAGAGGACACACTGAATTCAAGACATTGATTAAAAATGATTGTCATGCACTTGAAGTACAAATGATGTTGGAGTTGCCTCATGGTGAGATACTGAAGAGCCATTTCAGGGGGTATTTACAGCCCAGATTTTCCAGATTTTAAAAGATACCTTTCTTCCACTCCTAGCTGTACAGAAGAGACACTAATGGTTGGATGATACATTATAGCTGTGTAACTACTACTCTACATTCTTACCTTAATCTTTTAAATTATAAAGTTGGGTCTTAAGACTTCTAAGCGACATACTCAACATGTTGTTACTACATTTTTCTCTTTGTCTACTGGAAATAAATTTTTTTTTCTCTTTCCAACTTTTATTTGTTAGAATATTAAACTTATAAAGTACCATATTTTTCAGACCATAAGATGCATCGAGGTTTTAGAGGAGGAAAATAGGGGGAAAAAATTGGAAGCAAAAAATGTGGTAGAATATTTAATAACATAAAAAACATAGTATTTCACCAATGTAAATGTAAACAGAACTCAACAGCAGCATTAACAACCATTATTCCTCCCAAAGGGGGGTGGGTGTGTCTTATAGTCCAAAAAATACGGTAGTTACAAGCATTTAATAACATCCTCATGGATATTTCTGTTTGGCTGTCTTCAAATTTCTATTAGGATACCTTTAAGACAGTTTTATCCCAGCCCTGGCCAGGTCGCTTTGTTGGTTAGAGCATTGTCCCAATACACCAAGGTTGTAGGTTTACTCTCTAGTCAGGGCACATATGAGAATCAACCAGTGAATGCATAAATAAGTGGAACAACAAATCGATGTTACATCCTCTTGCACTCTCTCTTCCCCTCTTTGTCTCCCGCACCCTTTAAAATCAATAAATTTTAAAAAATATTTTTAAAAAGATAATTACATCCCAAATTGTACCACCAAACCATAATCATTTTTATTTTTTAACACCTTTTTATTCTGTTACATATATCTTTTTATTTAATTGTAGCAATGTACATAGTCCAAATGAATGGAGTTTTTTTATAAAAAGAAAACCTCATCTTTTAAAATAGTGCTTCTTGTTGCTTTAAAATCTGCTGAACATCAGGAAAAAAATAAAAATTTATTTTGTTTAAATACCATCTTTCTCTTGATTGAATTAATAGTGTTACTTGAGATTTGATCCATAGGAAAACAGATGTGAAGTTATCCAAATAAGTCTGTTTTTCACTTCTATCTGTATTTCACAGATATTTTTTGTTTTTGTTTTACAGGAAAGAAAAAAGATGGTCAAGGAAGCCCAGAGAGAAAAAAGAAAAAACAAAATTCCTAAACATGTGAAGAAAAGAAAGGAGAAGACAGCCAAGTCAAAAAAGGGCAAATAGATCAGAACTATATTATGTGCAGTACTTTGCCATCAGTTGCTTTTCTTGCGTGTATGTTAAGCTGCATCTATGAGATGGGATATTGATTTTTAACTGGATGGTTATTATGACAGTGTCTGAAGACTGATTCAAGTGTTTTCATGCAGTTATGTGGAAGATCTCTAGGCTCTGTTTTCTAGATCCAGTCACTGGCTCGGTCTGGTATTTACAGAGAATTTATTTAAGCTATTTTAATGAAGAACTTTGTACAATATTATTTTTATATATTTTTTCTCCTTCTGTATGTTTTCTGAAGCATCATAAATATTTAAATGTAGTGAATGTCCACTACTTTTGTTTAAGTGTAAAGGCACTTTAGACAAATTCGCAGCAGCTGTTTTGCTTTGTTTGCACATGCTAAAGACCTATCTGAAACCATATAATTAAAACCATGATATGTATAAAAGGAATTTCATTTAAAGAGAATTCATCTGGCTATTGATGTAATCATTCACCGCAACTTTGTTCTGCGTACATTGATGATGATTTGTAATGCACTTTTCATCTTTAATATTCTTTTTTGAGCTAGGACCTCCCAGTTTATAAGCTATTTCATGTTCACCTTTTTGGCATGTTCATTCATTCATCATATATTTGAGTATTGGAGGTGCTGATGATACAGCAGTAAATAAAGCAGACAAAAATTGCTACCTTTGGGTAGTTTACATTTTAATAGACGACATTGAACAAAATAAGTAAAAACAATGTATCAGCAGGTGGGAGAGAGATATTGCAGAGAAGAGAGAACGCCTGGGGAGAAGTAAATTTGCCCTTTTAAAATAGGCCACACTGAGGCTATATTTGAACACACACTTGAGGATTAATCATGTGCATATCAGGAGAGAAGAGGATCCCAGGCAAAGCAAACAGCAAATGCAAAGGCCCTGAGGCAGAAGTATGCCTGAAACGTTCCAGAAAGGAGGCTGGAGCTTTATAACCAAGGGAGAAGATAGATGAAATCAGAAGATGTTAAGCTATTGGAGGGTTCTTAGCAGAGAGATAATAAGATACGACTTCTGTTTTGAAAGATCACTATCACTGGCCTCTGGAGAATTAAGGAAATGAGGGTGGGAGAAGAGTTGGGTATTAATTGTAGTAACCCATAGGAGAGATGATGATGATGACAACTTGCTCTAGGAAAGTAGCAGGGGACATGAAGAGAAGTGGTTGGACTCTAGGTAGAACACAAAAGGGGAATGAACTAGATGTGCTAGCAATATATGAGGAGTATGGAGAAAGAGTGAAAGATGATGTTAGGCATTATGACTAGCAACTGAGAGACTACTGGAATTGCCACCTGCTGTGTTGGAAAGGAATGTGGGTGGAGCAGGTTTGGGTGAAAGGGAGTAAGGGTGAGATGGCAAAAGGGCACAAATATTGAAAAATCAGAATTTTATTTATTACTGTGGTACTTTACATTAGAAATGATTGCATTAGCCCTTGCATCAGAAACAATTTCCATAAATTTAGTTTCCTTTAAACTGAAGCTTGTGCCTGCTTGTTTGAGAGTTGACGGATTATTGGGGGTTGGCAGGGAAGGTTTCAACTGAGCCTTTAAAGTCTTAAGTCAAATTTATGTTCATAATATAATATACTCCCCTCTTGGACTTTAAAAAAAGTTCAAAATATGGAATAGAATTTCAATGAAACAGTCACCCCAATGAAATATTCTAGTTAGTTAAAAAGAATACAAACCAGATTAATTAATTCTGTGTACTTTGGGGGAATTTTTATCTTCGAGATATTCTAGTTCTTGTATTTGGTCTTATTCTGACAAGGTTTATGTTTTGGAGGGTTTTTTTTCGATCACAGTTGGTATTCAATATATTAGCTTAAGGTGCCCAACATAGTGGTTATATATTTCTATAACTTATGAAGTGATTCCCCCAAAAGTCTAGTACCCACTTGGCCCCTTATATAGTTATTACAATATTATCGACTATATTTCCTATAGTGTACTTTTACATCCATGACTATATTGTAACTACCAATTTGTGCTTCTTAATCCCTTCACCTTTTTCACCCAGCCTTCAACCCCTTCCCATCTGGCAACCACCAGTTTCTTCTCTGTGTGTGAGTTAGTTTGTGTTTTTGTTCTTTTATTCTGTTCTTCAGATTCCACATATAAATGAAATCATAGGATATTTGACTTAGTTCACTTGGCATAATAGCCTCTATGTCCATTCATGTTGTTGCAAATGGTGAGATTTCATTCTTTTTATGGCCAGGTAATATTCTTCTGGAGAGCAGGCCCCTTGGGCTACAGGCTCCCCCAACTAGGTGAATGTTCTACGAACCCTTTTGTGTCAGTGTACCCTTTTGTGTCAGCTGGCGTTGTGAGAGGCTGTGTTCTGCTTCTGTAAATGTTTTTTTGAAGACCTTCAATGCATTTGCCTATTTCATGCTGGGTGATTTACAGGTGCACTGGCCCACACCACACTGAGTGTTCTTTGACCAAAAGCAGCAGGACCCCCGTGCCCCACCCTCCCTGTTCACCCCATATCACCTCAAGTGACATTCTTTGTTTTTCTGCATGAAAAAAGTCCTCAAAGGGAAGCATTTTGCCAATGTGGAAGAGTTGAAACAAAAACGGCAGAAGCACTTAACAACATCAAAATTGACAAGTTCAAAAACTTTTGAGCAGTGAAAAAAACTCTTGATAGGTGTATTGCATCAAATAGAGAGTACTTTGAAGGTGACTGAAGTTTAAACATGCAAGAATACACAATATTTTATAAATAAATTCTGGGGTTTAGGGATTCCCCCCTTCTTCCAGTGTGTACCACATCTTTAGACAATTGCCTGTTGGTGGACACTTAATGTTGTTTCCATACCGTGGCTATATGAAGTGTCCTTTATCTCTTGGTATGTTATAGCCTTTGTTGTTAAGTCTGTTTTGTCTGATACAAGTAAGGCTACCCCAGCCTTTTAGAATTCCCATTTGCATGAAACACCTATTTCATTCCTTTATTTCCAGTCTGTGTCTTTCCGTTTCAAGTGGGTCTCTTATAGACAAGCATATGTATTAGTCGTTTTCTTAACCATTCAGCCATCCTCTGTCTTTCGATTAGAACATTTAATTCACTTAGAATTGAAGTGATTATTGATAGGTACGTAGTTATTGCTATTTTATCCATATTTTTCTTTTTCTAAAGAAGCCCCTTTAACATTTCTTACAATATTTGTTTGGTGGTGATGAACTCTTATCTTTTTCTTTGATGAACTCTTATCTTTTTCTTGTCTAAGAAGCTCTTTCTGTCTTCGACTCTAAATGACAGCTTTGCTGGGTAGAGTGATCTTGGTTGTAGGTCCTTGCTTTTCATGACTTGAGTACTTCTTGGCAGTCTCTTCTAGGCTGCAAAATTTCTGTTGAAAAGTCAGCTGACAGTCTTATGGGAGCTCCCTTGTAAGTAACTTTTTCCCTTACTGACTTTAAGATTCTTTGTCTTTAACCTTTGGCATTTTAATTATGATGTGTCTTGGTGTGGCTTCTATATGTTCATCTTGTGGGACTCTGCACTTCTGGAATTGTGTGTCTATTTCCTCCACCAGGTTAGGGAACTTTTCAGTCATTATTTCTTCAAATAGGTTTCAATCATTTGCTCTCTTGTGGTCCTCCTGTGGTACAAATGTTACCCTTGATGTTGTTCCAGAAGCCCTTTAAACTATCTTCATTTTTTTAAATTCTTTTTTCTTTTTGTTGCTCTGATTGGGGTTTTCTGCTACCTTGTCTTCAGATTGCTGATTTGATGCTTTATTTAATCTGCTGTTGATTCTGTCCTTTGTTTCTGTCTTTTTTTTATGGTTTCTATCTTTGTGTAAGTTCTCACTGACTATTCTTCCCTTAAGTTCATTAAACATCCTTATAACCAGTGTTTTGTAGTTTGTATGTGGTGATTGATTGCCTCCATTTTATTTAGTTTTTTTTTTTTTTCTGGATATTTCTCTTGTTCTTTCATTTGGGATAGGTTTCTTTCTGTCCTTATTTTGGCTACCTCCCTGTGTTTGTTTCTATGGATTAGGTAGATCTGCTGTGTCTCCCAGAGTGGGCAGAGTGGCCTAATGTAGATGTTCAGTGAGGCTTAGTGGCACAGTCTCTCTGGTCATGTGAACTGGGTGCTCCAGGGGTGTCCTTTGTGTGGGCTGTGTGTGCCCTCCTGATGTAGTTGAGCCTTGATTGCTGTTGGCACGTCAGTGGGTAGGATTAACCCTCAGGCTGACTGGCAGTGAGGACTGGTCATGAGAGCAGTGAATGAGCTGTTGTGTGAGAGCTGACCCTATAGAGTGAGATTTGATACAGCAGGGCTCTGGTGCCCGCCGAGTCCACCCTTTGAGTGTGTTGTCTATGGAGCTAACTGGGTGGTGCTTTGTGGTGGTCTGAAGCCAGCCAGTGGGTGTCTTGGTTCTGGGGCCTCTTGGGAGGGGCTTCATTGCAGGCTTAGGTTAGCAGCTGCCTGTGCCTAGGCCAGGGAACCTGGTAGGAGCTACAAAGTGATCTGCAGTTACTAGCTACCTATGCTGATATTGGAGGCCCCTAGGAGAGGATATGCTGTGAACCGAGGCCAGCTACTGCTAGTTTCAGGCTGGAGGCTGCTTAGCAAGAGGTACAGGGCACACTGAGGCCAGGTGGTACATGTTTGGAGTTTTTGGACCTTTAAGAGATTTTAGGAAAGTCCACAGCTCAAGCTGAGGCTGGCCCCTTAACAGCTTCTGAAAAAGATTCAAGCCTGTGTGTAAGTTGGATGGGGCGGGTTCTCAGGGAATCACCAGTGTGTGGCAAGTTTGATGGAGACTCAGATTTGGCGCCCAACTGCACATGCAGGCTGGGTGGGAGGAGGGTTCCACGAAGGAGTAAGGGTACCTGTTAGCCCTTTAGTTCCCAGAGAGCTTCCCCTTGGCCCTCACTCTGAAGCCAGACAATTCAGTTCCTCCCCATACGTTTCTGGTGCTTTTTGAGTTGCTGCCCTAGCGCTGGAGCTCAACAAGTGACTTTTCGAGAGTAAATCCACGCATGGATCACTTAGAGAACACAAGGACCTATAGCAGCCCTCTGTCTCACCTGGGCTGGATTGACTCCCCACTGCTTTTCAGTTCCAGCTGTTGTGGGGGTTTTTGTTCTCAGCACTTGTTCCCAGATAACCCTCTCTCCACAGCTGAAATATCCCTCCTGACCCGTAACCACCACACCTGGGTGTGGGACCAGCCCATTTTGGGTCTCCAGCCCTTCTGCCAGTCTTGACGAGGTTGCTTCTTTATGTCCTTAGTTACAGTTCTGTTCAGCTAGTCTTCAGGTGGTTCTCAAGGGTCCTATAATTTAGCTGCAATTTTGTTGTCATGGGGGAAAGCAAGGAGAGTGTTGACCTATTCCGCCTTCCATCTTGACTGGTGGCCTGACAGTGTGTATTTGTACCAGGTGATAAAGCTCCTCAGAGCTATCTTTTGGTGAAACTAAAGCAATTCTGTTTGGAATCAATTTTGCTTGGGCAAAAGCAGTGTCCACAGAATTTAGGGATGATTCATTCTCACATTGCTGCCAGGAGGAGGTGGCTTGTCAAATGTCAAGATTTGGGACTTTAGGAGTATTCTAATCTGAAGAACATTTTTCCCATAACTCTCTTGCTAAAGTGGCTGTATCCCTGTTTGGATTCTG